GGGAGCGCTGCCGCGCTTCCCAAGCGGCGCACTATCCAGTGCGCCACCGGGCCGGCCCGATCACAACATATTTTTGAAGAAATTCACTACTCAAACATGCTGTTACTCCTCGTTAGTGTAGTGGTGAGTAAAAAAAATGCTGTTAAACTGCCAAACTGTATATTAGGATCCCATTTTAAAATTAAAAACTATATAATGAATATATTTTATATGTGTAAAGGAAAATATATATATTGAAAGGATATACATTGAATGGTTAAAGAGGTATGGTTAATACTTGGGATTACATATGTGACATTTAAGTTTATACTCTTTCCAACAAACATATACTTAATTTGTAATATAAAACAAACAAACAAAAACCCCTTGTTTTCCAAGTTGCAGGGAAAAAAATTCTTTTGTATCTTTTGCAGGAAAAATGATTTTAAATGTACATTACTGGTAGTATCCCTTAACATCTTTATTTACTTTCCTTGCTATTATTTATATACTTATTAATAACTTTTAAGTTACATATATGTAGAAAGATTATGGCTTTTGGTTAAGAGAGATAGTTAACACTTTGAAGACTTACTGTATGGAGATTTAAATTCCGCAATGTATTTTTCAGTTTATTGTAATTTTTCCCCATGGGAATCTCTGTCTTTAGCCATGGAGGTAGTCTTAACCTACGGAAAGCCAAACAAAACTGTCTATTAACAAAGATGCTGCCAAATATTCACAGCATTTTGAAGTTATTTTGCTCTATTATAATTCCTAGTTAATCCTCCATAATCCTGGACTAACTCTTATAATTTCTTCCATAGGAGTAAGAATAGAGAATCAAATTTAGGCTTGCTCAAACCACTTTAGAAAACACCAGTAATATGGGCCGGTCCGTCGCTCACTCGGGAGAGTGTGGTGCTGATACCACCAAGGCCACGGGTTCGGATCCCTATATAGAGATGGCAGGTTGCTCATTTGGGAGACCGTGGTGCTGACAACACCAAGTCAAGAGTTAAGATCCCCTTACTGGTCATCTTTAAAAAAAAAAAAAAAGAAAGAAAAGAAAACACCAGTAATGGAATCTAACAGGCACTATGTTTTTTTTTTTTCTCCTTTTTACTGACCGGTAACGGGATCGCAACCCTCGGTGTCGCGCCCGTACCGGGGACTGGCAACGGGATCGCAACCCTCGGCGCTGCGCCTGCACCATGCTCAGCCAGTGAGCGGGAACTGGTCTCCACATGGGATCCGAACCCTCAGCAGGAGGGCCGCCCGCGCTCCCAAGCGGTGAACTCTCCAGTGCGCCACTGGGCGGGCCCTAACAGGCACTATGTTCATCTACCTTTTGCAAAGGCACAGAGTTACACCATTCTAATAAATGAATGAGGAAATTTTTGAACATCTTATTCTCCATGAATAATACTGCCCCAAAGTACTCTATTTGTTTTTTTGTTTTGTTTTGTTTTTGTTCTGTTTGTCCTCTTTGAGACCGGCTGCACCACGCTCAGCCAGTGAGCGCTGCGAGCACACCGGTCATCCCTCTATATAGGATCCGAACCCGCGGCGGGAGCGCTGCCGTGCTCCCAGCGCCGCACCCTCCGAGTGCGCCACGGGCTCGGCCCAAAAGTACTCTATTTGTTGGGCCGGCCCGGTGGCGCACTGCTACAGTGCGTCGCTTGGGAGTGTAGCGGTGCTCCCGCCG